TTTGGATGTCTACCACAAAGAATGTCCAAACGACAAGTAAGAGAAATGATGATCCCAATCCTCAAAAATTTGCTCGGGTATACCGTACAGGGTACATGTGAAATCTAACATGAATCTTGCTTATTAGAAATATGATCTTCAATGAATGTGAGTGGTGTACATAATTTGGAATAGAGGAACTAAACGACGTTAAAAAAAATTGGGGGCAAAGAACCAGCGCCATACGCGCAATGAACAACGATGCACTAACAATCCTTTTTCCGGTCATCTTTTAGCGTTCGATATATGTAGCGCTGCGAGATTCTTTTGCATAGCGCAGCAACTAGAGAGCCGCAGCTAAAATGGCTTGAGACGCCCATTTCAGTTTCCACGTAGATGGATGTACTATAATAGCGCCCGAAATCAACCAGAATGTTGGCCGAATGAAAACAAAAGGATCAGTTGGCCAAGAGTCAACCCCCAACAAACGTGATAATGAATGCCGGCGAACATGAGACGAAGAAGACTTTGGAACGATTTGGATAGATAGTTTGGAGTCAAAGAGTCATTCCTGTATATACTCTGTAGTACAGTGGTGCAGTGGTAGCCGCTCGATGAGTTTCATCTCAATTTCAAACCAATATAGGCATGTGCTTGATGAAGTTCGACAACATCGACTCAGGTCTTGGTTTCATCCCAGTGATCTGATCCATTGAGTGAGTGCGAAGAATAAACAGACACTTTCCAGGTTGATCTCGGTGAGAGCTCTTCACGCTACCTAGGCAAGTAATGAAACATCCAGACGGGCTAAACCATTCTTGTGATAGATCCTAAATTATGTCGCTGGGCAGCCTGGGCTATCCATAAAAACCTCCTTTCTAGTGCCCATGTGACCAATCAGATGATCTATCGATATCGGAGTTATGTAAGCGACACTACGATAAGAGGCTTCCAAGGAAATGCCTCAACTCAAGTCAGCCTTTCTACCTAAGGAGGAGGTGGTTACCGCGTTGCCTCGTAGAGTCGTTACCTCTTTGCAAATTGCGACTCACACGTTCACAAGGGGGAATCGAAGCTTTTTCAATTTCCTGCGCCGTTCATCTTAATGCAAATGTGATGCAGAGGAGTGGATTATGACCTGGATAATGACTAGATATTGACTACTAGGGAGTAGGTACCTAGGGAATAACTGCACAATGAAATAATGTTTACAGCTTGATTGGCCAATCACAGGACGAAGAGAGGAAGAGACGAAAAGATGGGAGTGATTTAATCACAATATCAATTGATGATTGGTTCCAACAAACATGGGATTTGACCACAACCTTGATTTTCCTTCATTCGGTGTATGTGCGCCGTGCCAAAGAGAAAAAAGTGACCGAAGCTAAACTCCAAGATGATGGATGCACAATCTTCCTCCTTGCTCTTGCATACCGGTATCCCCAATATCACTTCAACCAAGGTTATCTATCTTTCACAACCAACTTTCGTGGATTGTTATCCTCATCCTGTCGCTTTCCTCCTCTGCTGTTGTTGTTTATCCTACTTCATGGTTGGCTATTGACTATTGACTGTTGACTGTTGACTGTTGACTATATTGACTCTCGTTCTTATACAACTACTTCAAATACGCTCCTGCCGATAACCAAACCGCACTTACGAGTACTCAGTACATACTTGTGCCTCTTTATCGCTCACTCGCTCCACCGACTTACTACATATTTGTGGTCCTCTTCATAAAACGCAGGAACAATCTAGACTTCTTTCTCCCTTCCGAAATCCCCCCATATCGATTTGAGCCTTAGTCAACGTTTGGATCTCCACCTCAATCTTCATCCCGCACCCCAAACTAGTCGGTCGTTACCATTTTAACCTAAACATTAGCAAGGAGACGGAGAAGAACCAGAGAAACCTTGGAACGTGTTGTGGATGCAATCCATCGAAAGAAAAGAAGCTTCTCCATCAGTTGCTATTTACCTCCCTCCTTTCAGCTTCCATATCCACATTTGACCAGCCTACAATCTTTCCTTCAACTACCTGGTCCGCAATATCCCCAATTTCAACATCGCGTTGACTTTCGTTCTTTTACCACTCGCCATTTCGATCTTTGTACATAGAATAATATCTACTATTTGCATCATGTTTTCAAAGTCCGTTGCCAGAGCTGGCTTGATTGCCAGTCTAGCTATCACTACCGTCAACGCCATTGCTACAATCTCTGTAACCGGCTCGAAATTCTTTACAAGTGATGGCGATCAATTCTTTATCAAAGGTAAGGCTTGTATTTGTATGTATCTTATTCTTGGGTTCTTGGCTGACAATATTTCTAGGCGTCGCATACCAGTTGACCGAAGCTGATCCTTTAATCGACACTAACCAATGCCAACTGGATGCCTCTCTGATGAAAACTTTGGGCGCAAATGCCATTCGCGTTTACCACGTTGACCCTTCAGGAGATCACTCTGGATGTATGAGTGCTTTCGCAGATGCCGGTGTCTACCTTTTCTTGGATTTGGATACTTTCAATACCGCAATCACTCCAGTATGTCATACATCATTATATGGAAAAGAAAAGAACGTGGCTGACCTTTTTAACAGACTGATGCGACCTGGAACGAAAGTCAATATACCGCATTTAGTAAAGTAATGGATGCGTTCGCCAAATTCGATAACACCCTTGGGTTCTTTGTGGGAAATGAGGTTATTGCTATGAACAACCAATCTTTGGCGGCACCATTTATCAAAGCCGCTGCTAGGGATATGAAGGCATACAGAAATTCGAAAGGATATCGTGAAATTCCTGTTGGCTACTCTGCGGCAGACATTGCGGAATTACGTCCTATGCTTCAAAATTATCTTGCTTGCGGCACCAACACTTCCGAGGCTATCGATTTCTTTGGTTTGAATGCATACGAATGGTGCGGCGATAGTGATTTCTCTACTTCTGGTTACAAGACCCTCAATACTTACGCCGAGGGTTACAATATTCCTATTTTCTTTTCAGAGACCGGATGCAACACAGTCAAACCCAGAACATTCCAGGACCAAGCAGCAATTCTCGGTTCGGAGATGGATGATCAATGGTCTGGCGCAATTATTTACGAATGGATCGAAGAGGCCAATGATTATGGATTGATCAGTTATGGACCAACCGTTGCAGCTACCGCTGTCGCAACAAATGTTGCAGGTGGATTTTCTCGTGGCGGAACTCCAACCCCTGTTTCTCCAGATTTCGCCAATCTCCAAAGTCAGTGGTCAACTTTGACTCCAACTGGTGTCGCGAGCTCTGCTTATTCCCCAACTCTTACACCACCTGCTTGCCCTGCATCAACCTCCGGAGGCTGGTTGGTCGATGGGGATGTAAAATTGCCATCTATTGGTCAGAAGGAAGCAACTGGCACTGCCACAACAACTTCTGGATCAGCATCCTCTACCGGAAGCGCCACTGGATCAGCTGCATCTGCAACCTCAACAAAGGGTAGCGCATCCGGCGGTAAAGAAATTACTGGCATGAGTGTAGGATTGGCCGCAGTTATGTTTGGTTTCATGTACTGGCTATAGATTCTCGATACCCATCAAAAAATCTTCTTTTCTCGGCCTTGATGGCTTGATATGTATAAACGATTATGATACGTGGAGGAAATCCTTTCACACCAATTCGGTACATAGGCGCGTTATGATAAATGAAAGCGCGGCGTTGGATTTGCATTGTGTCAATTTGGACGCAATAGGATTACTTTCTTCTGATATGGGATATACAGGTCATTGTATCCTGTGCATATAAAAAGCATGAATTAGTTGATCAACATTTGTTATTTTAGACCAACTTTAATAGATACTTAATAAAGTTAAAAGACAAGAGTCTGTTCATTTGCAGATTGACAAGCATGTGAACGTGTTGGTAGTATGTGATGTTGGCAAGTGTTTGTTATCAAGTGAGGAACAAGTCAGGAGCAAGTGATATATTACTAGGGGTGCAAGGATAGTGTATCTTGAGCAGTCTTTGTGCTGGATGCAGAATTGCAGGATTTGTGTCGTTGGCTATATTGATGGGTGAATGAAAAATAGTAGGTAATTGCTGTCTAGATGGGATGGGGTGGATGGGCAAGATGTCTGAGGCTATGAGGGTGTGAAGAGGGGAGAAGTGTAAGATGGAGAGATGGTAATAAATAAGAGTATGAAAGGAGGATGAGACAGCATGGGGCTATTTATTCACTATATACAATTGAATTTTCATCTCTTATCAGTATGAGACTTCATTCTGGGTTGAGTTTATGGTTAGATGATATTTGGAAGTTGAGAAAGGGGTTATTTATGCTTGGGCATTTGTGAGGAGAAAGAGATATCTATTTTCTGGATTTCTGGATTGAAGACCCAAAGAACCAAAGGAGATGTTGCAACTTGAATGTATTTATTATTATTCATACCTAGGTATTCACTTGTTTGGCTCTTTTGTTCTTTTTCATCTTCTAGGGCAAGCGTAGCAGTGCCGTGGTTGAAATATATCTCTTCCCACAGTATCTGACTATAAGAGATTTCCAGCGAAGACTCCTTGGTATTTAGCTTCATCTCCGCTTCATCTTCTCGTCTCTATCAATCAACTGCACTCATCCAACTATCATCATGCACTCTCATTCTTCTCCCCACGGGATTAGGATATCTCATTCTTGATATTCACTTTTGCTTGCGATTGCATTGCCGTACCATAAAGATTAAGCGAGAAATTTCCGAGGGAGGAAATAATCAATAGCCAATAATTTGTTTTGTTCACCTTGAAGAATAGAATATTCAATATCGTTAGAGTTTCATTTCAGGAGGCTGGGAAGCTTGCAGGCGTATGATCATCGATTGACTGATTGAGAGATTGAATACGCTAAATAAAAATTGTGGAAGATTAATGATATCTTGAGTTGAAAAAATTGTGAAGAGAACTTCTTGTGATTTTTCTTTCGCACAGCAACAATAACAACAACAACAACAACACCACAAGAATTGCAATTTTTAATTAAATCATTGCTACAATGGTTTTGTTTCTGCTCCCTGGTCTTAGACCACATTGGAAAATTGGCAATGCAAATATTGGTAAGTCCCCTTATCGTGTTCCTGGCAAGATGGTAGAGATGATGGAGATGGTGATAATGTCTCTTTGGGAGCAATAATCTAGTGATTTTCTTCGATGGTGGCAAGTAGGATAATATCTTATTGTTCTCCTTAACCCAATATTCTGGAGTATCCAGTCTGTATTGGTGAGAAAGATGGCACTTTATTGTCCTCCTTTCGACCAAATTTGGAAGAACTAGACTTTCTTCTTTCTTGCCCATAATTCTTCCTTATCCAAACCTTTACTGACAATTGCATTCTTTCTAGACAAACAAGAACCATTCACTCCAAAGAAACCAGTTGGAAATTCTGGAAGAAAATTCCCTCTCCCACCTCATATCCTCCACCGCCTTAACCTCCACAAGTCCTGTACTTCCTTCCCATCAAATCCATCTTCCGCACCATCTCTTCTTCCATCATTGATGAAAGATACTCCTGGTTCTTTACATTCAGCAAATTCTGGTGTTTGGCGTGGTAAAAGACCAGCAGAAGGAACTGCAGACGAAAGACCAGGAAAGAAGGCGAAGTACGGCCTTGCCAGCAATATCGATTTTGAAGAAAGGGGAACAGACGCAGACGACGAGGATTCAGATTTTGATTCTGCGGATACACCGAGTGATAGAGAAGAGGAGGTTACAACGGCAGCTTCTCCAGTAACCGTCTCAATACCAATTGCAGAGCCGGTTGTAGCTAGCCCGCTCGCTTCACCTTTCGACCCCGAATCCGAATCCGATTTCTCTGATACACCAAGCTCAAAGAGAAGAGCACTTGCACCACCAACACCAATTCCAGACCTTGTTACTAAGACCGTCGCAAAACCAATTGCAGCAACGGGTCGTTGGGATTTCACCCTTACGGCAAAACAAGCAGGTTACGTTTATAACCCGAGAAAATCCATGACCAATCTGAGTGATCGCTTCGCTACACCTTCAGACTCCGATAATACCCTCGATACCGACGATAGCGAATCTGACTTTAATTCTACACCAAATCGCTCTTCGACACCAGCACGCGCACGTGCTTCTTCACCTTCACCTTTACCTTTACCTTTACCTTTATCTCAGTGGAAATACCATCACAATCCTATTGATCGAAATAATCCAACCACTCCGCCTTCCGTCGGAACAAAAAGAAAAATGGAACAAGCATATGCCGAATGGCATCAAGGAGAAATGGACACACCTAGAGCACCACCATATTCTCCAATCACTTTACCAGCCGATACACCACAATCCGTTGATTTCAACGAAGCTGAATCCGAAACTGCACAATATGATTCGCAGTCACAACAAGAAAATATGAAACCTTCGCGCACATCTTCGTACTCACATCACACTATTTCCCCATCTTCTCCTCAAATACCACACTCAACAATATCCACCTCCGAAACCACCGTATTCCCTACCGATCTACCTTCTCCATCCGTTTCATGCCGTTTAGAACCTCATTCACCTGTTCTCGATCACCTTACTGCACAATATATTGCACAAGGACCCCATCCACACATTCCTCACGTTAATCACGCAGCTGTGAATCAAAGAAATGCGTCTCAGATATTGAGCAAACATCAAGATGATCGCGCGCCGTTTGTTCGAGCTGCGAGTCGAAGACTCCAGGCGGTGGTGGGTGTGAGAAATGACTTACCGTTTGATTTGCTGATGGGGACGGGAAAGCATGATGCGAGTAATTTAGTTGTAGGGAGGGATGGGACGTTGGTGGATTTGGGACTTAAGGATTTGGAGAGGAGAGAGAAGTCTATGAAGGGAGCTGGAGATGAAAGTGGAGATGAAAATGAAAATGAAAATGGAGAAGATCTTGCCAGAGATGATGGTGTTATGAGTGGAGAGAATATTGGAAATAATCGGGAAAATATGAGCTCGGATATGGATATGAACACCAACGCAAACGCAAACACAAACGAAGCATACAATACAAACAGCACGGCACAATACCTACAAGATATCCAGGCTTCCTTCAACACTCTCCGCTCTTCCTCCCATACCCCATCTACATATCATTCTTCTCCTCGCCAGCAACAAACAACACCACAAAAAATCGCTCCCAACCCAACCCACGAATCCCCAACACAAACAGCCTTTTTCCCTCCCTCAGTCAACCCCTACACCGGCGAAGGACTCCGCGAATATCTTCTCTCCCGCGCTTCTATCACCGGTTCTGTGAAGAGAGAATGTAGAAGTATCTCGTTTCATGATTTTACACCGGATGTACGAACGGGCGAGTTTAGAAATCAGTTGTTGGTGCATTTTGGCGTGGATGGGATTTCCAGTAGTGAGAGGGTTGAGGTTATGGAGTTGGGTTTGTGAGTTATTTTTTTCCCTTTTTTTCCCTTTTTTTTCTTTTTTTGGTCCTTTTTGGAGGGGTTTGTTTCAAGGTTTGGCCTGTTGGATTTGTAGTTGTTTTGGGGGGTTGAGAGTGGTGTGAGGAGGAGTGCTGCAGTGCGGCCGTGGTGGAGTTTTGTTGCGGTTGTGTAACTTGACTTTTGGCTCTTGACTCTTGGCTTGGGGAAGATGGGATGGCGAAGTCGCTGTCCTTTTATTTCTTCTTGTCGATTGTACTTATTTTCTACTATACTTTCCTTTGACAGTTAATGTAGTATTCTTGCTGTCATTTCCTTTTCTTACCTTATTACCCTTCCCCTCTCCTATCTATCATCCGAACGAAAACAACAACAAAAACTCTGTCCTAATATAACTAACACCTCTCCACAGACCCGATATAACCGGCACTCTCCACCCCTGGCTCTCAATCTTCATCCAACGCCCCCTCGTAACTGCCACATCCACCTCATCAGCCCTTCCATCTACCTCCACCATCACACCTCCCAACTTCCCCTCCCCAATCCCTACAACCTGGCTCTGCATCGCCGTCCCCCTCTCAAACATAACAACCTACCCCATCCAACCCGACACCACAATTCCCCCCTCCCTCCTCGAATCCGCTTTCTCCCACCCCCAACACGGGCTCCCCACCAAAAAAATCGCCAAACGTCAAGACTACGATTTCTCCTTCCAAGGAATCCCCATCTTCGAATTTTCCACCCGAACACTCTTTCCCCAGCCCGAAAATCCCTATCCGAACACTGTGCCCACTGCGGATTTTCTCTCCATCGAAGTACCCCGTTCCTACGATCCAAGTGATCCCTATCTTGAGTTTCCGCTACAGGTATCCCAGAATCCGGGATTGCTACAGCGGGAAGCACAGAAGTATGCAAGGGCGGTGGGAGTAACAGGTGAGGAATTACGTACGTATGGTGATATGATGGTGGATGAGAGTGGAGTGGATGTAAGCGAGGAGGTATCTCCCAACGAGGGGATTTGGTGGTTTGAATTCTATCGAGGAATTACACGGGATAGGATTCGGTGGGAGAAGGTTAAGAGGTGTATGGGCCGTGGGAGATGTAGAGTTGTTCTGAGATGGCAGGATGTACCGGATGAGATGAAGAGATTGGGTGGTCGTTCGAGTTCGAGTTCGAGCTCTGGCATCGGTTTGGGAGTGAGCGGAAAAATAAGCGAAGCGGAGAGAGTCATGCAAGAGATGAGTAGGGAGAACATGGCAGCGATGGGAAAGAAGCGGAGAGGTAGAAAGAGTATGCAAACGAGCCATGCGAATACGAGTTCGAGTGGGGGATTGGGAGTTATGAATATGAATGTGGGGAGTCATTCACATTCACATTCGCATGTGCGATCGCGTTCGGGCGAAGCTTTGAGAGATAGCTTGCGTGCGAGAGCGATTGGGAATCGGATGGGTTTTAATGGAGATGTTTAGGGATATGAAAGATCGAAAATGAGGAATTTGAGAGAGATGATGCAGAGAGGAGTTGCGGGTTTTAGGGAGGAGAGGAGTATGCGAGTTACTTGCTTTCAATTTCTTACCAGGCTAGTTTTCATTACTCGATATCTCCCATCTACAAACATACTACGGTATGTTACGAGCGCATAGAAAATCCTTGAATTCAAGATCGTTTAAACTTTCGCGATGAAATTATGAAGAATACAAGAGCAGAATAGAACAGAACGGAACGGAACAGAATAAGAAAAACTTTCCCATCCTTTCTCAAAGAAGATACGTAACATGAGTTAATCTCCTCAAATGATACATCTGAGATACCCAGAAACTGGATTTCTATCTCGAAGAAGAGAATAATACAGAACCAAAGGATTCGAAGTTCAAAGTATAGGAGATCATGAGAAGAAGAGACACATTATGATCCCGGCATTCTTCACGACCATCTTGATATTACATTCAGACGACAGTTCCACGAATGTATGCACGAATGCGTTACTTTCCGTACCTATACCCAGATAGATACCTAGGAACTCAGGAGTAGCAAATATCCACGAAAGGAAACTAGAAAGATAGAAAGATAATCGGGGGTTCATATTTATTCATCCCCTTATTTATGATAAAAGGGCTTCAGCAATTCATTAACTTTTCAGCAATTTGTAACTTTTGATAATAATTCTTATAATTTTTATTCTTTTGATAATACAAATAGATATTTCTAATTAAATTGAATCAATAATTATTTAATATATTTTAGAATATCTTTATTTTTTATAAATAAAAAGTTAGAAAAAATTGATCCTATTTATCGGGGAGGTTTTATATCAAAAAAAAAAGTTAACGAATTGCTGAAAAATTAACGAATTGCTAAGACCCTCTCATTAGTATAATAAGGGGTGAAATGAAATGTAACCCCCGATTAGATAGATAGATAGCTTAAGAAATATATCATTATTGACAAATTCATCAAATCAACATTACTAATCATCGTCTGTGATGTATAGTATACCACGGTTTAGTTTTCAAAACACATCATTCTAATACATTTCATTCCTAGATCCTACTCAAACCATCCATGAATGAATGACTGACTACCCCATTTGGAACTAGATTAGCAATATGAAGTTACAATTATCATATCATTGCTTGCTAATACTCCTCGCACTTTGATTAAAGGTACCTTAGTACCTAGTAATAACTTAAAACCTCAAAGTAGCGTTGCCATTATCAAAACCTCAATCCGATGGACCATGGCCAGGAAAATCCAACCCGAGTCTCGAATTCATTTGCGAAGTTTGGGTTATCTCGAGTATACCCTCACAGCTCCAATATCACTAACTCGACAATCTTAATCAACTCCAAGCCCTCGCTTTTAGACACATCCAACTATAGGGGGGGACAATTCCAGATTCGAGAGGAATGGGCAGAGAAACCAGATACTCCATATCCTGCAAGAGAAATTGAATGACGAATCATTTTTATAGATTCAGTAACTTCGGAGTGATGCAGAAGCCCGTACGATAATAAGCATCGAGCTTCACAAATTCGTCAACGTAAACCACGACGCAAAAAGTCTGTGGGAATATTCAGACATTTATAGTACATACAGATACAGGTACAGATTGAGCTTCCATGCTACGCTACCTAAATGCATCATAACATTCGAGTCGTGATCGCCGATTCTACATCGCATAACCCATCCATCTCAAACATAACTGAGATACCACAATCCAATCTCGGCCGCATTTGCAGAGGTGAGATTCGAGGTCGTCGGCCCTTCATTCCTTTTGACGCCTCATTCATGATACATATAAAATATACACTCGTCCATTTTAATCCTCTAATTCATCAACCATTACGACGAAGAACTTCCCCACCAACCACCTGTCATTCCACTCTTCATGGCCTTTAGTCCCTCTTCTTTGGCCCTCTCCTCCATCTCGGCTTCTTCCTTCAGCCATTTTGCTCCATTCTCGCGAATTTCCTTATCAAATGCCTCGTAGTTCTTTTGTCCCCTTTCTCTCGCTAGATCTTGCAACATTTTTCCTTGAGCAAGCGCATCCGCTAGACTCTGTTCGTTAGGATCTGTCACCATCATTCCACCTGGCTTGATACCCAAAGCACTTCCTAGTAGTCCTACACCACCCCCTCTCTTTCCATGCTTCTTTCTTTCCTCTGCAAGTTGCTCTTGGAACTTCTTTCTTGCAATTGCCTCACGCTTGGCAAATTCAGTAGGAATATGTGTTCCATCAAATGATTTCAAGGCTTTGCGTACATCGGCATATTGCATTGTAGGGATATATTCAAGGAAAGGAATTAAAGAAACAAGCTCTTTATCTTGGACGTCACCTGTCCATGGCTTGAGGATTATTGCGTTTTCTGGTTGCTTCTTTGCATGGTGTGCTTTAGTATCGATTAATATGACCTTTGAGAGATCACGGTTGAGGTATGAAAGATCCTATATCAAATTAGTAACAGTCGCAGGAAGGATGACACAAAAACCTTACCTTGATATATTCACCGTTTTCATAAAGTGTTGCCTCTCGGAAAAGCGGCCAAGTAACGATGTGATATGGATCGAATTTTCGAATAACTGGCTCTGCTAAAGTAGATGGTTGAGTGGTGAAGATGACCAATTCGTAATATTGACTTAGATATCTCAAGAAATAATCCACACCGGGTCTTTTTGCCAGTCGCCAACCATGTTCTCTGGTCCATTCACTGTGAATTAGAAGATCCTCCATACTTAAAACTAAAGTATAAGGGCGCTCAAACATGGGACTTGGATCGGGGAGTAACTTGGTAAAAGCTGGCTCAGTGTAGTGTCCAAGTTGGTCTCCGGTTCGGGCCCTGACACGATTCCACATGCCGGTGAGTGACCATCCAGATGGAGCAGTTTCCGAATGTAGTCTTTCCTCCTCCTCTGTTTCCCAGTTCCTTCCCATGTATACCGTACCAGTGATCGCAGATATGAAGAATGCAAGATACATGTAGTTGGCCATTTGGTTTCTCTTTCTTTCCGAGGAAGAAACATACGCAGATGCTGGCAATTCCCCGCGACCTTTACCCCCACCACTAGGATCTTCTTCAGGATCTGCCGCTTCTGTAAGGTTCAATGGCGATGCTTTCGATTTTCTATTTGCCAACTCAAAATCCAAAGTTGAAGGAATACCTTGGGTGAGATCTGGTAGAGGTTTATTTTCGAATTCAGCTTGTGCGGGGTCGACAGCGATTGTCTCGAATTCATCTTGCTTGCCAGAGAAGTCTGGGTTTTCACCTTTCCTTGCATCTGGTTTTGGTACACCGGCACCTCCTCCCTCTGATTGTGGTACAGTATTCCTCTGTGGTGAAGCCCCCTTACTCACTTCATCTTGCGCCTTGGAGAAGTCTGGGTTACCAGATTTATCACTACTCAATCCTGATTTTGGTGAAGTAAAAGCAGCCTGTGCCCCAGCTGGACCGGATGGTGTTGGCGTACCCGAAGGTCTATTATAATCTGTAGGCTTTTTAGGCTGGCGGCGATTGTTCGCCATCGACCGAGTCCATGACGTTGATGAGGTTATTCGGAAATTCGTCGAACTATTTCTAAGAGCTGGCGTTTGCAACGACCTTCCGATAGCTCTTGACAACATTATGAAAGAAAAGAATCAATACACAGCTTACTTTAATGAAGAAAAGACTATATGCGAAATCGCATTAAATATTATTGAACTTCTCGTCAGTAAAGAGAGACTTCCAAGTTCCTTTGGCCTAATAAAATAACCTGATTCCTTAAGTTTTCCCTTACAAGCAACAAAATACAATTTTCTACAATGATGCGGGCGGGAATTATTGAAGCTAGTACCAATTAGTACTAGCTTCAATTGGCGTCAAACTCCCCACCATAAAAGCATCGATTGATTTTCGCATTCTGATTCTCTTTTTCTTTTTTCCTTAAAGTTGACACTCAGTGGACAGAAATTATACTCATCGCGCCTACAATAACCGTGGACGAAGAGTTGAACAATCTGAGGAGAACGAATATGACACTTTCAAGAATTGGATGTTAAGCCGGTGCTTGAAAGAGCACCGGCTACTCAATTACAACTTCAGTCCCGTGGTGTCCTAACATTCCATATCTCATTGAAATCCTCATATTTTGAGGGTATTTCCGGTCTCCCTCATAATCTACCCGAATATACTCGGCACAAGTCTTGATAGAAGGATTCTTCTTGTGTATAATTGAAGTTTTAAATATCATTCCATTATTCATCATTTGAGATACCACGCGATTCACCTCTTTACTTGTGATTTTGAATCAGTATCTCCTTCCTAGCACGCGATTCTCTCCACTTGGTTCCATCTTTCATCTCAAACTCAACAAGCCTAACACCCAAAACTCTACAGTATATCGACGACAACTACAATTTCACAATTTGGTTATCCTACCTACTTACTTACTCCTACTTGAATAATAACAATAGATATGGCGCCGTCTATGAGACATCATACTTTAGCCCTACGGAATCGCCGCGCAGTAGCAAGCGTGCCCGCATCTGGTTCCACGACCCCAAGCTCATCCGCCTATCCCTCAGCATATCCATCTGATGCTGAAGATATCACTCTGGCCACTCGCAAACTTAAACAACCATTTCCATTTCTCTCTCTGCCCTCCGAACTACGAACTAAAATTTATGCCCTGATATTCGCCCCTTTCCCTTCAATTATCGACCTCGACCCTACAACATTTTCCATCATTCACCGTCAGAAACTCCTCTCTCTATTCTCTGTCTGCAAACAAATTTACAATGAATCATCGCACCACTTCTTCTCAACCTATACTTTCCGTATCTTCCCTGTCCATCCAGGTCGCTATTTCAAGACAAAGAAACCATTACTCGCGCGTCTGCCAGCCCAATATCGCAACTCTATCACTACACTTGAACTTCGATTAGGTCCAGGCTGGAACAGTCCTCCAAGAGGTTGGATTGTATCACCTCTAC